TATTATTTCCACCCAATTGAATTTTCCTTTTTTGTTTGAATCGATTCCAAGATGGCTCAATTTTACATCAACCTGAATGCAATAGTAATTTTGATAAATATATATTTCATTCAAAGACTTATCCATACCTTATGAAGCACAGTAGATACGTTATTAACCAACTTGCATCTCCGGCCAGTTAAAAGTGTAGACGTTGTGATCGCAGACAGCAGAACAAAGATCAGCATGCTTATGTGCAAATATGCGTGGGAACCTTTTAGTGTTTTGGATTTTTCATAAACTTGCCAAGCCATTATTAAATTAGACACAACTGCCAAACTTATGAGCAGTTTCGCAACAAAATTAGTAACACTCGAGTACTTTATTAATTTTATGTTCAATTTTGCGTCCACAGTGGCTTTAAATGGCAAAAGACCCATCAATTTTAGGCTGGTGAATGTTATTGGATGTCTTTCGATGAAACCTTTCACTTGCGATTCCATGGCGGGTGCGAGCCAAACTGAATGACATTCAGTCTGATGACAACAAACTTATAATCATAAGCAAATCAATAGTTAGAATGAATATACTGAATACAATTTAATAATTTATCGAGTAAATTGGTATGATAAGAATAGTATAATTAATTTTTAAGAAGCTTAATTTTAATCCTAATAGAATATAAATAAGAAATTGACTTGTGTCTGCAGTTGATCAGTTAAAATTTATTAGATTATTATTTATTTTACATTACCAGGACGAAAATTCACTCACATTATAGTTTAAATGTTCTTCCTTAATACATTATTTTAATTTTAATGAGCATATCAACCAGAATGGTGTACTAAAGCTAAATATGTAAAAACTGTCCCGATTACCTGTAAATTTAAAAGCAAACTGTTAATTAAAAATGTTTTAATTACGTAAGCGCTGCATATTTACTGAAAGTAATAAACTGCGGTCAATTGAAAATAGGCCTAAAGCTGAAAATTGAAGAGTGCGCGAGTTGACTTGAATCAAAAAATCGTTAAGCTGAAATCGTTTTATAATTAAAATCAATTTTTTTATTTTCCGTATAAAAACAACTAATCTTTCCATCACCTCTTTTATTGTGTTATGGTCCTGAGCTGTTTCTAAACAATTTGCAAGATATTCTCTTGTATTATTTGCCTAGTAAAATATGATGTCTGTTATAATTAATAAGATTTAGTTGAAATTTCTAACCTCAGTTATGGTGTCGCCGCAAGACAAGACTAATAAAATTAGCCGTACCACAGAGGTTATTAATATAACACTTCGAGTCACAATAATTTCTATTCCTCCCGGTTCCAATAATTGGGCTGCAAGAACGGTGACCAAATTACTCATCAGCTGCGTCACATCTGCGGTCCAAAATATGGTGAATTCGTTATTCGTTGAGTTAATGATTCGAGCGAGATCACAAAAGCAGGACTTTAAATTTGAAATTTGGTTGATTTGGTAGAAATTCCTCCATGGACATTTATAAATCATCCTTCCTTCTCGCTTGGGCTGAAACCAGCAATATTATATAAAGATTATATCTATTTATCCATTTTTATACCTCGTCATGGGTGAGCAGAAATTTGTTTATTAAATTGAATCTTTGTTTGAGCGCAATGCAAATCGAGTATCCCAGCTGAGATTCTGTTGTGTAGAGAATAATATGGAAAAGCATGCAAACCTTTGCCACTTTGCCAAACCAATTTAAAGATTCGTATGAGGTCAAGAAGGCGCAAGAGATATTGAAAATAATCATAAAGGGGGCTATTGTTTCCACCAAACTGAAGTTTCTGGTTGAATCGATTCCAAGGTGATTTAATTTCAAATCAATCTACAAGAAAAACATTTGGGCTCACGTCAAATCCATTAAGATGCGTACAAACCTTGTGAAACATAATTGAAACCTTGTTGATCAACTGGCCTCTCCGACCGATTAAAAGTGTTGACGTGGCGATTGCAGAGAGCAGAAAGTAGATTATCATGCTTAAATGCAAGTTAACGCCGCGTTCAATTATTTTAAACATTTCGTTTAGTTCATAGGCCATTTTTAAATTTACACCAATTGTGAAAGTTAATAGAAGTTTTGAAAGAAAGTTGGTAGCTTTTGAGTATTTGACCAATTTTATACGCATTTTAGAATGGAAAATCATTCGAAATGGCAAAAGACCTGTCAATTGCAGACAGGCCATTGTTAAAGGATGGCTTTCAATAAAACCTTTCACTTGCAACTTCATGGCTGGTGTTGGGCAAACTGACTGACATTGGTCTGGTGACAAGAAGCCTATTGATCTATATAATGATATATAATATTCATTATGGGGGAAATTCAATTTCCAATCTAATTAAGTACTGTAATAATGTTAGCTAAACAATACTTTTTTATATAGTTTATTATTCACGGAAGGCATTAATTTAAAATAAATTTTTTTATACTAATTTATTCAGTGCCATTTGTAATGAAATAATGAAGCATTTTAAACTTGAGCTAAACTCAATCAGAGATATTACAATGTAAAAACACTCCCTAGAGATTGAGAGGAAATAAATCCCAAGCATAATCTCGTACAAACTGATGCAAACATTGCACACCCCTTGATTAGAAGTCTGAGAATTTCTACACCTCTCTCAGGCAGGCAAACTAAAATCCGCTAAAATCCGCGAGCGAGTTTTATTTAATTGAAAAGAGTTTCTCTCGTTTCGCTCGGCGGCGCTTATACATCCAATTTTGTGCTCCTCCTTTTAATTGCTGATGGCGAACGAAATTAATTAAGGTCTCGCACGCACAGCGAGTCTAATGGGATATTTCATTACAAAATTCACGGCCCGCAAAAAATTAGCATTTGAAAACAGGTTTGTTTTCTTGCCATTAACAGAGCACCTCGCGAAATTTTACATTTTCCACTGAACAAAGATAGAATTTTGTTTCGCAAGAGGAAAAAGCGCGAAAGTGTTAATTAACCGAAAAAGAGACAGCTCGCGAGTTCGCCGCGGGCTGTATTGCAATTTAATTAAAGGGTTGGGGAAAAGCGACGGGTGCGCGAAGAAGAATGGGCGGTTTGACAGGGGAATGCAGCCCTTGAGAGAGTAAAAGGAAGATGGAGCAGGTCCTTAGGCGTTTTACCCGCAGGTCGATATTTGATATATCATGTGAGCCAATTGAGCGGTAAATAGGAATGAGAGATGATAGATATCCGCCGACGAGCTATGTGAGAAAATAACCACATGCGGCGCGCGCGATATAATCCCGGTGCTCTGCAAAATGCGATGGATTTCCAGGCCAAATCTGTAAATATGTATGTATGGCGGCAAGTAAACAAAATCCTGCTGGCACATCTGAAAATATTTACTGCCGAAATGGAAGCTATGCTTGTTACCCGCCCGGAGGCTTTTCCCTTTCCCACGTACCCAAATCCGCTTTTCCACCCACATTTGGATATTTCTTGCTGTCGCTCAGATTTATTTTCTACAAGATTTCAGCCCGCACGTTCATATTTCTCTTAGTTTGCCTCCAAAACGCATTTAAAATAATAAATAATAGATTTGCTGCGATAATTTTTTTTTCGTCGATTTGATTAATTAATTTATTAGAAAAATTAATCTTTATTTTTTATTGAGACCTGAAAATATTTTTTCTTATTCAATCAAAGCAAGCTGTAAGAATAATAATATTCTTTTAATTTTGTTGAATTCACAGAATGCATTGACATCAAATTGTGTGCATTGTGAAATTGAACAAAAGAGTTATGAAAATTTAATCTATCCTTAAAGATCCACTCCGATCATTTTTATTGCTCTCTATTCTGAAAGATTGCTAAATTTGGAGTATATCTTGCGAAAACACTATGTGAAAATTCCAAACCGTTGCGTCGCAATCAAAAGAAAACCTAATACGAGTAATTCGCTTGAAAAACACGTGAGAATTGAGTTGCCAATCAGATCCATCAGTTTGGTCCAAAAACTGCAGGATTTGGTCACATTGGCGCTGACTTTGCTACTATTGCCCCACGGCGCTTTGCAGAAAACTTGAAAATCAGCGATCGCAGCGCCACAAGTGACAAAATCCTGCAGTTTTTGGACCAAACTGATGGATCTGATTGGCAACTCAATTCTCACGTTTTTCACGCGAATCACTCGTATTAGGTTTTCTTTTGATTGCAACGCAACGGTTTGTAATTTTCACATAATTCACATAGTGTTTTCGCAAGATCTACTCGAAATTTAGCAATCTTTCAGAATAAAGATCAATACAAATGACCGGAGAGGATCTTTAAAATAAAATAAGGTTTATAAGCAGATAGATTTATGATAACTAGTTTTAAGCACACATGTATGTGAATTTCGATGTTGATTTAATTGAATTTTTCTTACAATGATAAATGGTCGTACTTATTGTGAAGCGATCATGTTCCGAAGTAAAAAAGCGATTGGCTCCTTCCCAGCACCCTAAATCAAAGGTCTCACAAGTTGCTGGAGTCCTAAAGTGTCTTTTTTTGTGATCGCGTTTCAGCAACTGGCGGGTTAAATTGGTCCTCTCGCTGGGGCGTCGTAAATTTCACGCGTGCGTCTGTTCCTGTCGAATCCGGCGCACCTTTCTTTCATTTTGGCTTTGCCGGAATGCTCGTGTAAAAAAATGGCTGCTGCGGCTTCTCCAAAGAAGAGTGCAAACGTGCCAAAAGTTGCGCTCGTAAATTTGGGGAAAATAGCAGGCACCACTTTTATTACCTCTGGCGCATCCTCTTTCGCAGTCAGTCCGAAATATAGTCTTTTCCTGTGCTCGCGTTTCCACGCCACTGATATTGGCGGACAAAAAGAAACAGTCTGTTTTGGGAGTTTGAAATAAATTGTGCTGCCGAAGCAGAAAAGCAAATCGCGTGTTTGATGAAAAACTAGATTAGTTTGGCGAAGAGCCTCGGCAACTTTTTGCCCGATGAGGTGCTAATCTCCGATTGACCCAAATTACATCGGCTAGCAATTTCACGGGTGAAAAAATTTGATTTCAGGACGGCCTAAAGCGACGCATGGACAAGCTGAAGAGTTCGATAGAGGAGGCGAGCCTCGCCGTCGACGCCGAGAGGGAGAAAAATGTTAGCCTCTTGCATCTCATTTTCCCTCCAGATATCGCTAAAAGGCTTTGGCTTGGTGAGTTCAGTTAATATTCAGTTCAAAGAGTTCTTCTTTTTCGGTGCCGCGGGAGGGAAACCGCTGCTCAGGAATAGATCAAGGAGATCTAATTTCCTTCGTATTTAAAAGAAATCCAAATCCAACATGAAAAAGAAAATATTTAATGTTATTTTACTTTTACTTTCATGAAATATCGGAAGATATTTAAGGGGAAAAAATGATTTACTGTAAATTAAAGATTTACAACCTCAAGATATTAATTCTTAGCTTGAAAATAAATTATTAAATTTTTTTTTTTATATATGAATAAATACATTTTTATTTATATTTGCCAATAAAGAAACATAAAATATTTAATTATGTAATGTCATATTGATGTTAAAATATATTATATTTTTTTAATTTTAAAAGTTATTTGAAATTTTAATTTAATATTTATCACATTTATAAACATGTTATTGCATTTATTTATTTTATTTTTTTTTTTTTAAATTATCTTGATACTATATAGCTTCATATGATGACTTTGAGGGTGTTTTTTTAATTAAATATTGTTTTAAATAGATTTGCCTTTTAATTATTAACCCACGCTCTCATTAGAATCATGGGATCAAAAGTTGACTAACTCATAAATATAGCACTACCATTCATGCTGATCAACAATGTTTTAAAATAATTATTTACATAATACCTAATCAGTTTAAATAATAAATGTTAGTTCAAGAATGATTTGTATTCACACATCTCTTCTTGAGTTTGCAACTATATAGGAATTAATTTCTGTTTTTATTTCTTCTTTTTTTATTAGTTGAATTATGGCCTAGACATGATTTCCAAGACCAAAGCATCAAATCATTTTTGCAATCTGCTTATGCTTGCACTCTGCTCGCAAGAGTTCTTGACATAAAAGGAACAAATGCCGCGAGATTAAAATCAGCAGCACGAGTGTTGTGAGCTCGGCAGTTTCACTATTTTCCTCTTTTCTTTTTTTCAACGTGAAAGTCACATCTGGCATCGCAAAATGCACTTTCTGCAGTTTTTCCTCCATCTGCAGTGTGTCACGTTTTAAAATTGCTCTTATTTCGCTGCGTGACAGGCGAGGACATCCAGGCACAAACCCACGAGGACGTGACCATGTTGTTCAGCGACATCGTAGGCTTTACGGCCATCTGCTCCACGGCCACCCCCTTAGAGGTCATCACCATGTTGCAGTCCCTTTACAACCAGTTCGACCAGCTCTGTGGCCTACTTGACGTTTACAAGGTAATTTCAAATTAAAGTCAAAATGATACAAAAGCAAAATAGTAAAATTATTCGCCTCTAATAAAGCTGATGGAGTTGAAAGGGGCTGGGAATAAATTAAAAGTCGAACTTTTTTGAAAAATTAAATAAGAATATAAAAAAAGGGCAAAATTAGGTCAATACTTAAAGTTTAAATTAATGTATTTTATTTAATTTTTACACTTTCAATCCAAATTTCCATGGATGTAGCGTTTTAATGTTTGAATACATTTAAAATTGCTCATATTCACATAATTTAGATTCTAATAAGGAATTCAATTATCTTGGGAAAAAATGGTTCAATGTCTGATTTAAGTAAATAAATAAAAAATTATTCAGTATCTGAATTTAAAGTTGTGTATTTTTTTTAATTGCAATAATTTAACTAAGATTGACTAAGATTTAGCACTAGATTAACTTACTGTCGACATCTTTTGTAAAAACAATTAACTTTTTTCCAGTCAGAAAGTTTATAACAAGAAGTCGGGAAAGTTTTCCACCGTCCAAGTTCCGCCTACGCAATCGAGATTAACTTGCATTATCTTTCAAAGCTTATTAATTCCCGATGCGTTCGTGCTAAATACTTGGCTGCAGTCTTGTTCATAGTCGATAACTTCATAATTATCTGGAAGCGCCTGTTATTTGCCGGGTATACAACCTGCATCGCATACCAAGCGAGACGGCTGCATAGCTGCCGTTAATAATGTCTCCTCGCCATCGCCACCTGCCCCATTTATTTATTGCTCGGCTTTAAGCAGTAAATTCGAGTTTATGGGCTTTCAAGTTAATTTGGATTTTCCAAAAACAATTACGCGAATCCAAAGAAAGAACAACCTAATCTGACTGAAGCCGCTTTACCCAATTATAAGAGACAATTGTATTTTTCTTTTTCCCTTTTCTTTCATTCTCAGCCAGGATTTTGTTTTTTTTTCTCAGCCAACATAGCAAAAGCAAAGAAAGAAAGAAATGCTGTTATCATTATTTGGTTTGCTGTTGTTCTGTGGGTATAGAAAAGAAAAAGTCTGATAAAAACAATTCTTTCAGCTCTGCTTTGTTTGCTACAATTTTCTGTTGCCAAGCAAAACCTCCTTTATTTTTACGGGGAATGAAAAAGTTGAATTCTGCTGCGGCGGTAAATGTGTTAGTTGTTAAATTCAATTCAATTTGAAACAAAAACGCCTTTTGTCGCAGTTGTTGAGAGAAAAAGAATTAAAACCTTTGAAAATTTTCTACAAAACGGAAGCTGCCGTAGAGTTTCAATTATTATAGCTCCGTTTTATCTCTCAACTAATTGGTGTGCCAGGCCAGGACGAACACGAGCGTGAAATGGGTGAATGGCATGCGCGGTACCTTGTGTCTTTTAATTAATTAAGATGCAAAGGTTGCGAGCGCGTCTAAGGGTGATTGCTTTGCCGAGAAACTCGTCGAGTTAGTTTTCAAGTTGCAGCACTCGAAAGGAATAAAACGCACATAGAGCAGCGCACAATAATAACAAAGTTCTTGCTGCCTTCCAGCTTCTTGAGCATGATCCTGTTCAGCTTGCAAACTGCTCTTAATTACAACCGAAGAATCTCGACAAATTTCCGAGCTTCTACAGAACTTTGCTGAAGAGGTGAAAATTATTTTCAGAAATTTTACACAAAAGCAAACAATAAACCGTGCAGGCGGTTTATTGTAGGACGCGAAAGCCTTTATGAGTTTCCTGAACTTGTGATGATCTCATATCTCTGAAAGTGAGCGCGCGATTTATGTACTTTTAGCCTCACCAGCAAAGTTTCTGAGCGGAACAAACTCATCGTCTCGTCCTCCGGTGCTTAATCACTTTGAAATTACTTTCGAGAGTTCCTATTGAAATGGCGTGCAATCAAAATAAAATGTTTATATATGAAAGGCGACGACAAACTTTCAAGTTTTATCACTCGCTCCAATAATGCTCAAGATATTATGAAGCTATAAAAGGATTTAATTCATCGCCAGATCGATAAATTATTAATCTGTGGTCTTATTATGTAATGTTGGAAAGGAATGGTGAATTCGTCTTACAGCAAAAACCAGTCCTTTGAGAAAACATATTTATCTGACCTAAAAAATGAAGCTTATTTTTATTTCAAAATAAAAAATTCCAGTTATTTATTTGATATTGTCTTCTGGCTTTTTTTTATTTTTTTCACGCAGTAAATAAAAAATTTGAAATTTGTCTCCAGCTTATCACAATAAATTCAATGCAAAGTGTGTTTATGTGTGTGTTTTTTTTATGTCCGCAGGTTGAAACAATTGGTGACGCGTACTGCGTGGCCGCGGGTCTCCACAAGCGGAGCTCAACTCACGCGCAACAAACGGCGTGGATGGCCCTCAGCATGATTGATGCGTGTTCCAGCCACAAAACCCACATGGGCCAGCCAATCAGGGTGAGAACCTAATGAATGACCCTTTTTATCGTTCGTGAGAACTGCGCGCAGGGTAAAGTGAGAAGCGCAGGAAAGAGCTCGCGGAGGCAGCCAGCGTGACGCGATCAAGATATTTCAGTCAGTCAATCTCAAGCCGTGTAATTCGAAAGCAAACAAAAACCAAGGCGCGTCCATCAGCCGGCCAATAATTCACGTTCAAGCCAACCGCGATTAAAATCAAACTCAAGTCTGACACGTATTTCAAGCACTAATCGATCTTGGTATTTTGATCCGGTTCGTCTTTTTTACAATTTCAAAATTTATGAGATTTTTGTTCATCAAAAGTCACTAAATTTTTTTGTTACTGATATATTTCTCAAACAGAATGATTTTTTCTTTTTTTATGTTTGACATAAATTATTTTCAAAATAAGTGAGTGAAAATGTGTAACAAACAATTTTAAACATCGAGCTTTGACTCTCATTGTCACACAATATTATTACATATTTTATTCATTCAATGTTACACTTGTAATCTGAACTGATGAATAGATTTCTTTCTGTTGATATTTCCTTTTTCTTTTGTTTGCTCAAAGATTTTATAAGAGTCAAGTAATATCTTAAAATTCTTAAATTACGATTTTAATACGTTTTATTTATTATAACAAATAACTTTTATCTTTTATGTATTTGTTAATCACTTTAATAATTAATAATAAATCCTACAGTTTTTTACGGAAAACCTATTTAAACTTTTAAATGAATTATAAAATTTTTTTATTTACGATAATATTTATTTTAAATATTTTTATATTTTAAAATACTTTGGGAATGTTACATATTAGATTAATTTACGTTATACATTCTTTGTTTATAAAATATATATTTTTGCCATTTTTGCCATCGCTTGTACTTGCTGCAAAGAGAATAGATTTGTCTTATAATAATTCAATATTTAATCAATTGAGTCAATGACAACACCAAAATTATTAATCTTAAAAAAAATATGTTTTACTCCCTTGTAATGATTGAAATGATTAGTATAAATGATGCGAATGATGCATTTGAGAAGTTATTGCCTAATGTTACTAAATGTCGCTAACTGTTACAGATGAGAATTGGATTGCATACTGGCTCCGTTCTGGCTGGCGTTGTTGGCATCAAAATGCCCCGCTATTGTCTCTTTGGGCACAACGTCACTGTGGCCAATAAATTTGAAAGCGGTAGCGAGCCACTTAAAGTCAACATTAGCCCAACCACTCATGCGTATGTATTCATTATCCCTTTACACATATAACAAGCATCATAATTTACGTTTCGGTGGATGTACTTAATTTATACGGAAAAAAACTATAATTAAAATATATTTTTATATTATTGCTTAATTTCATCAATCAATTAAATAATATTTTATATCACAAATATTATTTAACAATAGACAGGCATTTTTTCTCCATTTTGCCATTTAATCTGAGGAAAAATTTATTTCTGAAATTAAATAAATTTAATAATAAATTATCATTAAAAACCCAAATCAATTGTTAAAAAATTCCTACTTTTTATTTGCCTTGAAATTTCATTAACTAAAGAGCATTATTAATTAAATCATTATTTATCTTACCTAATTCATAATTTTGTCCATGACAGGACAGAGATTTGACTTGCCATTAATCTAGGACTTTAATTAATGAAGCTCATCTTTTGAAACACCTGCAGGTGCCTGGTGAAAGACAAAGGTTTCACTTTCGAGGCGCGACCGCGTTCCTGCCTGCCCAACGGTTTTGTGGCTGCCGAGGACGAGACTTGCCACTTCCTGCTGGGCTACAGCCACCCCCTGCAGGAACCGCAGTCAGCACCCCTGGCAGACCACGTGGCCAGAGCCATGATCGACCTCGAGCAGTGAATCCCTGCCGAAAACAAACTTTTCATCTGCTGGTGTAAATTAAAAAAAAAAAAAAAATGAGAGAAAAAAGTATTAAAAGCACGGTGTTGTTCATTGTGTTCTGTGCTGCTGGAGAAACTGTTGAGCTAAATTGCAGTGCTACTTTTTTGTTTATGTTATAAAAATAAGTGTGGACCACTAATTGTTCATGCACAGGCAAATGGTTGGTGTTGAGAGCTTTGGTGTTCTTGTTAATGTTAGACCAGGAAAATCTCGGAGTTTTCTCACTTGTACGTATTCAGCGCGAATCTCATTAATTCATTTAATTTTGCGGGCCATTAGACTGCACTATCAATATGTGTGTGTGTAATAAAAATGCTCCCAAGCGGCGGTTGTTTTTCTCCGAGTTGTCGAACGAAAATTAAACACCTCTTCACACTTGCAGACAAACAAATACACAAGATTTAAAGGGAATAAACTACGCTTATCTGAGCTGAGTGTCACTTTTGAGTGTGTAAGCAATACCCCAGTGCAGCAAAATTCACTTCTATGAGTGTATTCAGTGAATAAAATGGAAAATTACTAGTCAATAAAGATATTATTTGGAAAAGTGAATAGTGGTTTTCTTATATGAGAAATTAATAAGTCTTAAATTTGAAAAATAAATAGATAAAAAAATGGTTTGGTTTACTTTAAAAATTATTGAAATTAAAAAAATCCGTTTTCTTCACTTCTAGGTAATACCTTCATAATTTTCTTTTTAGTAGAAAGCAATAAAACATTATATAATCAATAAAAAATTTTTTGCTCACATCTTAATTATGTTACCAAATAAAACTTTTTAAATATTATTTTTATGTTTAAATTTTTAAATTAAATAATTTAAATATTTAAATGATAATTTAAATGATATATAAAACTTTAAGATTTATTATAAGTATAATGAATTATATTTTATTTTATTCATTAAATTGACTATCACAACATGTTGGTTTTGTCATCTTTTTGAGCGTAGCTTGACGGTATCTGGCACATTGACACATTGCGATTGTGATCATGCATTTTCTTCTGCTAATGTTATGTAGCTAATTCGAGTTAATATATCATAACATGATAATTTTGGCTGTAATCTATTTTCATCTGCGTGAAAATTTCTTCACATGCATGCTTATAATATTGAATTTTTAAACTCATTTTGGACATTTAATTAATGCTGTTGTTCTATATATTTTTTCAGATTATTGATAAAATTTTGATCTCATTTTTTTCTGAACAATTATGGGTTCTCATTTAGTCATCCTAAAGATTGTAAACCAAATGAAATTGAGTTTTAATTATTGATAGTATTATAAATTTCCAATCAGATAACATAATTTCTCTACAAGGAAAAGCTCATTTTGTCATTGCTTATGAAAAATATTTATAAAAAAAGGCTAAACTTAATCAGAATCGCAATCAATTCTGCCAAACGTTTGATTTTTAACTTTAAAATCTTTGCACATTTGGATATTTCAAAAAATATTTTGACAAATTCTTGTCAATTCATTGCATTTATTCCATTTCAATAATTTCTTATTATTTTTACACAGCACCATTATGCGCTGATAAAGGGAACATAATGAATAGTTAATTAATTATTCACTAATACCAGAATAATAAAAAATAATAATAATCAGACCAATTTTAGAAGAAGCTAAAAATAATTAACACTCTCAAAATCTTGCATAAATTTGATCGCAATTTTCGAGTGAAATGTCAACAGACAATAATTTATTTCAATTTTATGATAGCATTTTTTCCGTTGTTCGAGATTCTGAGCGTTGGCGGTGGTGGTGCGGCGCTTCCACTGGATGCTGCCATCTGCTACCCGCTGGACCAACTGTTTGCCTCGATGCTTATCTGCAGTGTGGCCCGCGTGATTTTCTCCGAGTCTCCTACTGAGTTACGCCTTTGCGTGGCAATAAATCTAAAACCCCTGCCCCTGACCGCGAAATAACAACGGCCGCGCGGCTACTGTTCGCGTGTACAAAAAAATAAATAGATAGAAAAAAAACCGAGAGATGCTGCCTGCATGAGAATTGGAGAAATAGAAATTATGTTTCCCACCTGTGCATGTGAACCTCGTGATCCGAAATTGACGGTTAATTATGTCTGGAAGAGCAGCTACGTGATCCAAAAAAACCTCAAATCTCGTCGCTGGGAAAAGATAGTGATCTGCAACCTTAAGAATAGAAAATATGACTATAAATCATCTTTGTTTGTGTGTTGTGCTGTGAGTTGCTCTTTTTCTCTCTCTCAAATGAAACTAATCAAAAGCTTTGGGAAAGTCATTAATTACCGCCGCGATAAACGTTGAAACCCTATATAGCTTTAGAATAAGCGACGCTTGTATTATAAATCGTCTGATTAAGTTTCGCCTCTTCATCATCGCTTGTCCAACCCGAAAAAAAACCAAGCTTATACATTCAGGTCTTTTAATTTGCTTGTCTAGTTTGCTTTCTTTGTTCATATTGGCCTGATAATTTTCTCGACTTTTGTTACAAAAGCGGAACGTCGGAAACACGATACTGCTGAAATGGACACCAGCAACAAGGACGCGCATAGTATGGTGTGTGCGTTATACCTCCATCTCCGCAGCTCTCATAATACTTCTCGTCAGACAATTTTTATTCGTACTTGACCATCGCCCAAATTCGATCGCTCATCCACTGTCAGAGAAAATGATCTTTCTGTGAAGGAGAGCTTCAGGTGTCTGGTTACCGAGAAAAACTGCTTAACACTGCTAAGCTGCATGACAATCAGAAATCTACATGCACTTGAGTGCCTTAGAAATAAATATTCCCTTTTTTTTCTTAGAAATGTACTAAGAAAACAAGAAAGTATGCGTGAAGCTTTAAAAAAGTGCATATAATATTAATTATTTCATATTGTGCAGGACATCCAATTTCAATAAATTTTTCCGCATGAAATATTTATTTAATTTTGTGTTCAATGAGAATCTCAGAACAATTAAAAAATTTCATATAAACCTTTCTATTTAAATATTACAAATTCTGAATTTTTATTCCTATTTGAATTTTTTTTAATCAAAAGAAAATAGCTTTATTAATGACAAGAAGTCTGTAAAATATGAGCCATGCTGAAAACCAATTTACTTACTTATTTGTTTCAAGAGAATTTACATGTTTTAAATTATAAGAACAAAATTATACTTCAAATTTTATTGCCTTATATTTTTCTTCTTATAAATATTATATCCTAAATTAATATTCACATTTTTTGCTTTCGATTTTAATGGAGTAATTTATAAAATTTTGATTTCTTTTCGTAGACATGCATATTTTTTAAATCTGTAGTTGCAAAAATATCAAGTAAAATGGAACTATTAAGCTCATGATTTAGGACATTTCGGTAAAATTAAGCTTTAAGCTTCAATGTGGGGTTCTTTTGTTGTCAAAGGACCACTCGGGTAGCGATGTCGAGCGCTCCTTTAAATCATCAAATTAGCGCGCTGCAAATCCGACAGCTAAATGGCGCGTTGAGGTCAGCGAGGGCTCGTTTTGAAATTCATTACCGCGCCGATTCGTACCCCTGCGCGAGTGGACAACGCGACTCGATTGGACATGCATGACCGCAACAAAGAAAGTGGAGCAGCCGCGCGAATCGGCCCCATGCCAAGGAAACACGGCAAGAGGTCAAAAGATTTAGCGCGCAGCATTATGATCGTCCCCTAACGCATGTCCTATGATGGAAAGCGGCTAATCTCGTTAGTGCCACTCGCTGTGTGTCGCGCGCAGGGTGGGTTTCCCCTTAAAATGCGGAGTTTCTGACCCAGGTGTTAATTCGAAAGCAGCGTTTAAAAACCAACACCCAAATGTTTCTTCTTTTTGTTCAAACAGCGGATCTTTCTCATATTCGTCGGACAATGAAATTTCTGCTAGGTGGGTTTTATTAGTTAGGCGGCATATTTAGGCGCACGCAGACTTGTAGTGGGCGCAATTGCGGGGCCATTAATTTCAATTTGCCAAGAGCGGCTCGTCCTCTGTTTGCCCTGCTCTAAATCGCCGTATTTTATTTTGGGTGACATCTTGCAGGCACCGTCCTTAATCAAAGTCTGGATTCCAGACTGTTCACATCATTCTTTCGCCAATTTGCAATAAACCGGATTTCCCCGTTGATTTGTGCTTCAAAATCGCAGGCGAAAAACCGCAAGAACTATATTCTATGTTAATCAAAATCCAATATATTATGAAATCAAAGGCGCTTTTGGGCTGCAAACTTCAACCTTTCTGTTCATTTGTATATTGGGTTATTAAGCATTCAGATATTCAGGATTATATTGTTTCTTAAAAAGTTTTGGTTTTTTTTAACATTTAACTGTCATATTTTCTTAATACTTTTTACTCAGTTCTGTAATCACGATGCATTATGATGCTTTCCATTACATTCCATTTCAATTATGCAAGTTCATTTCTACTTTATTTAATTTATTTTGTTATTATTATTCATCGGAGGTCTTGTTGTCAAAAACATGAAGCGTACCTTTCTAAAAGAAAAGACAAATCGTTGTTCACCTTTTAATTATTTGTTTTATATTTTTCTTAGTCTCTGCTGACTTCTAAATTTTAATTAATTTATGAGACGATACAGAAAATGACCCTTTGCGATCTGTTGAGAACCCTTAAAGACTTGTTTATATCTGCATATTATTGCGCCTTTTGTACATGCGTTTAGGTCATTCGGCGCATTAATCAAAAGTATGTACAAGTGAACAGCGCGTTTCCCGAATCTGAGAAAGCTGCGCACGGACCATTTGGAGCAGCTGGAGCAGGCAAGGTCAAAAGTTCAATCACATGTCTCGACGCAGCTCGTTAAATTGACACATATGGTGGAGCATAAGGAGTGAAATGTTCAACCATTACCGTGTCGGCGACTCATTTTTTACCCGGCGCACCACAGAGCGCGAGAGAGCCGCCGCGCGTCACTCTCTTCGAAATTATTATTTATCATCTCTCGCTCGCTCCTCTTTTGAATGCCCTTCTTTTCTCGCGTCCTCCTCGTCTGCATGCACATACTTCGTCTTCTTCTTGCGCTCTGGAACGAGAGGCTTTATTTTTCAACGGCGGCGGGGCACGCAGGGCTGTGGAGCACCAACCGCGCGTCTTCACCAGGCACACACAATGCCCAACCGTCGCGACCAGCGATTATTATACGCAGCTGCTACAATGTTAGCCTAACCACCGGCCACAATGTGTGTGTGTATGCCATCTTTTGATTCGAGAGAGGCGCAACTTCTAATTAAAAATTACATTATTTTTCATTAATATCAACACCAAGCGACCATAGCGCAAAGCTCAGGAGACCAACGATATGGAAATGCTCAATGCTCAATAATACTTTGATATCTGTAAATTCTCTAATTGTATTCATTGCCATTCTAAATTTATAATACAAATCTCATAAAAATAAAAATATGTGAATTTTTAAAATATATTTAAATACTTTCTAGTAATGTTTAAATAACTATAAAAATTTAATAAGATGTTTAATTAAGTTAAAATTTTTAATAATGAAACTTGCAAAAATGAAGTTTATTTTGTAGAAA